TAAAGCCAACGCTACACACCGCTTGTGCCGCACTCATTGTTCCTGGCGATGCAAAAGCAGCCACCTCCACTGACCTCAACGAGTACCACCTCGCGCACGGCCATGCCCACGAGACATTGCTCAGGATCACGGCGGAGCAGCAGGGAGTGCAGCTGACGGATGGACCGCTGCTACCCTGTCTTGGCTGTTCGATGTCCAAGGGACAGCTGCAACCCGTCCAGAAGAGCACGAGCACACGCGCAGTTAAGAAGTTATTTCGCGTGTATCTCGACTTGGGGGGAAAGATGAAAACCAGGAGCATTGGTGGCAACTGGTACACACTGATCATCACAGACGATTTCTCCCGTTGGACGCGTGTTTTCTTCTTGAAGTTTAAGTCTGACGCAGGGGTCGGGTTTGAGAAGTTCCTGGCGGATTACCGAACGAAAGGGGTTCCGTGTGAGGTTTATATCGCACGTACCGACGGTGGCGGCGAGTTCCAGGGGCAGTTTGCGGAAGTTTGCCGCAGACACGGCATCAAACAAGAGTTCACCCCCCCTCACACCCCAAAATACAACGGTGTAGCGGAGAGAGCGCTAGGGTTGATCACTGATGCCGCGCTTGCGTCACGCATCCAAGCGACGCAACTGTTCCCCGACGCACCGAACCACCCCGGGTTGTGGGCCGAGGCCATTTCGTGTGCATGCCATCAGCTGAACTGCACCGCCACTAAATCAAACGAGGGAGACAAATCCGCCTACGAGATGTTCCACCACTCCCCACCGCCCGTCGAGTCTACATACCCGTTTCTCAAACCAGCCGTGTTCAAGTCGAGAAGAAAAGTCGCAACCCAAGGGCGAAAAAGGATGATGCCTTGGTCCTGCCCACTATCACCCCCGTGACTGCGTTCGCATGCTAACCGAAGCTGGAACCGTAATCACCACCCGCAATTTCACCTGGCGCCACGTGCCCGCTGCATCGCCCGCTCCCCCGCAGCTGCTACCTCTCGCAGATGACGAGGAGGGCGGGGAGGGCGAGAGCAGAGCGGATGCATCACGCCAAGGTTGGGGGGGGGAGAGAGACTCAGAGAGTGAGTCCGACCTCGACGTGATGGAGGCTCGTGGGCCAGGGCAAGCGACGCCGTTTGTGCGCGGAGGCGCCGACGGCACCCGGCAACGGGATTCTGGGGGACGGAGGCAGCGTTCCCCCGTCGCCCCCTTCGGGAATGGGCGACTTCGGCGGAGGCAGTGACAGCCCCACCGTCAGCAGCAGCAG